CGATTCTTATCAGTTGAGGCGGATCTCCGACACAGAATCTTTTGGTCCATTCACCTCTCTCTTGACCCGATTTCCGCCCGAGTACCGTACATAAGCTCTGATTGCTTGTTTGCACTCGATGTGTATTCGCGATGTGTATGCTCTTGACGTCCGGCTTGATCGCCCTGTAGATTTAAGCGGCTTAAGTAGCGCGTGCGAAAATCAACAGTTCTTGCGCGCGGTCGCGCTTTCGGTCGAGGCAATGCTCGATTATGCTCGTGCATTATCCTCTCGCATGTATTCTCCATTATCATGATCATAATTAACAACAGCTACCTAATGACGACAACCTTGCAATAGAGATGCTATTTCTTTTCAATAATGATTAGAAAAAGAAAATTTAAAAAGATATATGCGAGAAGGAATGTATCAAATAATACTCTATTATATTCTTTTTATCTTTCATGTAATAATAAACTTTACAAATTTTGAGTCTATAATATTTCCTAAACGAATGACTTTTTTTTAACTTAAATAGCTTAACATTTTTTTCATTATAATAAGTTATATCAATTAGTATATTAAAAATCACATGATTTAAAAAATTGAAGTTGATCTTTATAGAATCTGCATGTATCTATTTATTCAAAAATTAATATTACATAATTTTTAATACTACACACACGCACGCACACATTTTTGAAAACATTATATGATTGTCTTTATGATTGTCCTTATAAATAAATAAGGCAATAAAATTATATTTGCATAATTTTTTATATAATATGTGATTATATTTATATTATTATGCATTTTAGAGGAAAACTTTCTACTATACTGTTATAATAATTACAATATTATTTAAAATAATTTAATGTTATGAATATAATAAATATTTCAATTACTATATATTTTTCAATATAAACTTAAAGTAATTAATTGAAATAAATATTTCTTTTATTATACGTTATATTAAATAATTGATTTATTATTTTAATAAAATCTTGTAATAGCATTTTCAAAAATAATTTCTATCTTGAAAAATTATTATTTCAATTAATAATTTCATTTACTTTATTTTATATAAATATTTTCCATTCTTATCAATATGATAGCGAAATAAATCTAATATTATATTTCAACAATAATTTCCAATATTTTTCATTTAAAATAAATTCTTTCCAGTATTAAAAAGAATGAATTAGCTAAAATGAATTTCAAGGAAAAATCTTTGAGAGTGGAAGAAACGACGAAATCCTAGTTTCTCGACACCTCGCAATCTTCCGATCGCACTTTCGCCATTCTTCCATTCACACCACGAGTATTCTTTTCCGCTGTTCGCGTTTATCCGTGATCAGTGGAATTGTACATATATTTTTCTCTTTCGTTGTCGAATGAAACGCTATTTTGTAATATTAGGAAACATGTTTAATTTTCATCACCAATAATTAGTAACCAAATATAGAAATGATTCAATATCTTAAGGCTTCAAGGAAATCTTTATTATTCTCATAACATTTTTGTTTTCATTATTGTAGAATAATTACAAATATATGGAATTAATAAAAAAAAATCATTGATATATTTAATTATATAATTTAGAAATATGTATCTATTCTATTTAATAAATATAAATATATAATTAGATCTTTAAAATATATGTAATTACAAATTGTTATGATGAAATTACATACATTTCTATTACTTTTTCTCTTTTCATATCTTTTCCTTGTTTCTCAAAAAATATTAAATTGTAATTATATTTCTGCAATTATTTATTTAATTATAAAATAGC